CCAGGCATGCCAGGGATAAATTATTTTTTTAAGTTTATTTATTAATTGAGAGAGAGAGAGAGAGAAGAGACTGCAAGCAGGGGAGGGGCAGAGACAGAGGGACAGAGAGAATCCCAAGCAGGCTCCGCACTGACAGTGCAGAGCCTGGTGTGGGCCTTGAACTCACAAACCATGAGATCATGACTTGAGCTGAAATCAAGAGTCAAACGCTTAGCCAACTGAGCCACCCAGGTGTCCCAGGATACATTCTTAACAGTACAGGGAAAAGGTGCTGGTGGGCCACCGGAAATGCTGAAACACTCCTGGAAGATAGAAACAAGGTGGGATCAGATTGAGAGAGAAGTCCAAGGAGACAAGATCACACCTCAAATCACCAGAGGCAAGAGCTGTTCTTTGTAACAAAGCCTCCGAAAAAGTCCAAACTCAGAGTCAAAAAGGACAAAGAGCAGGGGTGGGGGGGCTTAGGATAATCATCTGGTGAGTTCATTGAAAAGTTCATTGGTAGATTGCCCTCCAACACTTACATAGATTGGCTGGCAGTAGCCCTTTCTGCCTCTAAGGTGCAACTCCAATAACTGTTCATTAAAGAAAGTAAATAATCAGGAATCTGCCCAACTTTCTGTATAATACCCATGAACATTAATACATTTGACCATGTAATAGGCCACAAATAAATCTTGAAGCTGCCCCTCAAGATGTAGAAAATGCAAGGGACATTCTCTGAACATAATAAATGTAAAACAACGGTTTCTACTCAGAAGTTTAAAAAACACCCTTAAAGATGTTCTGAAGATGGCTGCTTGAGCAAACTTGTCTACCTCTCCACTGAAATAACAGAAAAAAATTGTATAGAGTACCAGGAAACAAGAAAGGATGTCATTTGGGGACCAGAAATTGTGACGGATTCCTTAAAAACAAAAAGTAGCTCAGATGAGAGTTTCAAGGGGGAAGGGAGCCAGAAGCCAAAATGAGCAGGAGGAAACAACCAAGAAGAGAAGAATATATCTGGAGAAACTTCAAACAGGGTAAAATGGATAAAAAATCAAGAACTACACTCACAGCTAAACGGCTAGTTGGACCTTCAACACCCTTACTTACACTGGGCAGATGGCACACTAATGACCATGAACTCCCTACCTCCTACATGGGAAAGTCCCCTAGGATGCATGTGGGGAATGCTGAGAAAGAAGCATATCAGAGCCTGGGGTACCTTCAGCCCTCCATAGTAATAATGAAGGAGAGAAATGCATTTGTAGAGAGGGAACCATTTTAAAAAATTTTATTTTTAAGTAATCTCTACCCCTAACATGAGGCTTGAATTCACAACCTCGAGGTCAGGAGTCGCGTGCTCCACTGGCTGAGCCAGCCAGATTCCGTGAGAAGGGACCATTTCTAGTCTGTCTGCTCCATGGCTAGTCATGCCAAAGCAAAGAGGAATATTCAGCATGCCTTACCTGCTTACAGAGAGTCTGAAACAGGCACCCTACAATGAAACTTCCATGCGTTCTATGATAGTAATATTTAGATAAAACGGTAAAACACATAAAATGTTGTCAAAGGCATCATTGGCCTATTTCACTGGCTCAAAAACTGTTCCCACAAGTACATGTGTCTCCCTAAGGAGAATAAATCTTTTTATTGAGGTAAAATTAGTATATAACATCACATAAGTTTCTGGTATACCAATATTATAATTCAATATCTGTATACACTACAAAGTGATCACCACCAAAAGTCTAGTTACCATACATCACCATACAATTGAGCTCCTTTACTCATTTTGCCCACCCTCCGACACATTTCCCCCCCTGGTAACCATCAATCTGTTCTCTACTAGGTTGTTTTTGTGTTGTTTGTTTTTTGTTATGTTTTGTTTTAGATTCCATGTATGAGTAAAATCATGTTATTTGTCTTCCTCTGTCTTATTTCACTTAGGATTATACCCTCAAGGCCATCAATGTTGTCCTCTACTCTGAGACTTGGGACAGAACCTGAAGCTTATTCATGTTCCCCTCCAATACACACCTGTTCTCCTTTTTTGAAAAGTTTACCTATTTATTTATTTTGAGAGAGGGCAGGGAGGGGCAGAGAAAGAGAGAGAGAGAGCGCATCCCAATCAGGCTTTGCGTTGTCAGTAGTGCAGAGCCCAAAGCGGGGCTCAATCCCACAGACGGTGAGATCATGACCTAAGCCTAAATCAAGAGTCGGAAGCTTAACCAACTGAGACACCAGGTACCCCCACACCTATTCTCCTTAATGTCTGAAGTCTCAGTGAGTTCCAAGCCCATCCATCCCACACATGCAATTTACAGGAACTCTGGCAAGAAGTCTGACATCTGCTAGTGTCTCTGTGTATAATCTCTCTCTATTTATATATAACATCTATTAAATGCATGGTGAATATTAATTGCACTTTATATGGTTATTATGGAAGGTGGGCTGAGAAGACCCCAGTGAACCAGACTTCCCCCATTCCTGCAGATGGTGTTCTTGTCCTGGGATGTAAAGTCCTGGATTTGGGACTTGTCCCACCCAGAGGTGTGACAAGTGACAGGATAATATTCTCAAAGAAGCAGGTAAACAAGGATGTCCTCGATACGCATTCCCCAGGAGCTGACTTTGTGGGGAGGGTCGCCCCTGTGAAGAAGGCTGTATCATGGGGAACATGCTGGTCAGAAAGAGTTCATGTATGTATCCCTATCTGCCTATACCCCTGGCCATGCTTTATTCCTCACCTGTCTTGTCTAGAGCTCCAATGAATGGCGATTCTTTGAGGCTTTTCTCAATCTCTCAGGGCAAAGTCCTCCGGAGTAGGGTCCACCAACTCTCAGGGCTTTAGGAGACCCAGCCTCAGGGCTGATGTGAGGACAGCAACCCTGCAGCTGTCATAGTGTGTACATGGGAGAGGGCAGACCCAACTCCGGCCCAGCAAATGTGGACTTAGCCTCGAGTCATAATGATCAGTCAGACCCCCAGGAGAGCCTTTAATTCTTGTCTGTCTCCTCAGGACCCAATCATCTGTGGCTTTATGGCTTCTCCCTGCTTTGGATCCAAATCTATTGGGATGAGGAGACAGGTCCAGAGGTGGAACAAAGGCAGAGGTAGGGGAGATGGAAGCCTCAGCGGAAGAGTAGAGACCTGCCAAGGCTGGGTGGTTGCTGGGAGGCTGAGGTGATGGGCAGTGGATGGTTAAAATAGCACCAACCCTGCTTCCATCTGGGGCTGGTAGTTGATGTCCAATGCAAGTCACCTTGGTGACCTCTGTTGGCAACCTTAATGTCCCTTAATGTACCACACAATGGTTTGTTCCCTCAAAGACTCCCCTCTTCCTTTTCCCAGAGCTGATTATGTGGTCTGCAATGGTATGTATAGGAGGAGACTCTCCCATTCTCAACTCTTCATCCCCTCCCCAGCCCTCAAAACTTTGGTCATGAGACCCTTGATGGGCAGTTTCATACTTTTGTTCAGTGGATTTTTCCATCTGCTGCTCTCCTGCATCATGACTAGCAAACTTCCATTCCTGCGCACCATATGCTCTCCAGGGGACCATTCCTTTTTCTATTCTTCTACATTCCCCAGTTGATGGTTTTATCTCTGTCTCCTCTCACAGACTTCCAAATGGACCATTCCAGCCCCTTACTAAGGAGATCTTACAGAGAGCAAAGGCCAAGGTGTCCAACCAGCACCTGCCCCAGAATTTGGGGTGTATAGTGTCCATCAAAATAAAAACTGGAAACATCACCCATTAGAATGTTAGCTCCATTTGGGCTGGGACATTTGTCTGTCTTGTTCCCTGATGTCTTTCAAGCACCTAGAGCAGTGTTCAGTACACAGTACATGTTCAATAGGTGTTTGTTGAATGAATGAGCCCTTTGACACAACAATTACACTTCTAAGACTGCGTGCTAAAGAAACACTCACACATATGCACAGGGCTCTGTGCAGAAGAATGAAAGGAGCAAACAACTGAGAAAAGCTTGTACATGTTTATTAATTGTCAATGACTAATACAACGTAAATTAATAATGTGGATTTACAACATGGAGCACCTGCTGAACAGAAACAAAATGAATGGTACTTGTCCAGGACACGCTGGTAGTGGGGAAAAAGCACGTGGGAAATGCTTATAGTAGTACCGTATGTGTGTGTGTAAATGCAGAGGAAAACATGTGAAATCAAACACCCAAAACTGCCCTCAGCAGTCACATCTGCACATCTGGGGAGGAGGGTAGTGCTGTTCTATGCAGAGAATTACCTGACAATACAATACTTATTTTCTAAGATAAGTGCATGGATACACAGAAAGAAATATGTATTAGGTATATGTTTTACTCATCAACAAAACTCTTATATCTAACAGAATATTTGGCGCACAGTAACAAAAATCATGCTTAACTTTTCACTATTGTGAACTCTTTCTTTTGCTTGCTATACACCTGATGGCTAGGAATTCACAGCCATGCCCATGTTCATGAAAGGCCACCAGGTTCTGCTTCTTATCATGGGCACTTGTACATCCCTGAGGTTGAGGCAAGGAAAGAGAAGGAGAATCAGTGGCAGTGAGCTCCTATTGTCTGATAAATCAATACCAAACTCCTCATCCACACCTGCTCGGCTGTGAGCACTCTGATTCTACCCTACTTCATCATCTGCATGCATCTCCCACTGCTCCTCAAAGTGAACCTTATGCTCATGCCATAGTGACCCCCTTACCTGTCTTTTGAGTTTTCCCAGACTACAGGAAAGTGTGGCCTACACATCAGGAGCTGACCAGGGGTTTGGGAGCCCACATCATTCTAGGTAGGGAGGATCCCTGGGTATACTGAGCAGGGAGCAGAGAGAGCATGGGAAACCTCATCATTTAGCTTCAATGCTGCACCCCAAGGGACTAGGAGAAAGGAATGGTTTGGGGAATAAGCGACAAGATGGGATACCAGTTCTATAACAGACAAGTACGTTTTGCAGGGCTGCGGGTATGGACTGAAGGGTTACTTACAGGATTAGTCATCTTCCTCGGGATCACTGATCTCTTCACGTGCTTTCAGGGTCTTTCTTTGGCGCAGTCTATTCGCCCAAATATTCTTCCCTTTCTTGGATCCTATGGTGGAGAAGAGTTGGTAAATGAGAGTTGGTTGGGTTGGGGAGTATAAGTCTCTGTTTTGTTTTGTTTTGTTTTGTTTTCAGATAAGGAGATGCCTCCTCCCTCCCAAGTGCCCACAGGCATTCGACATAGTCTGTTTTCCACATCTTCTGGCTCAGAGAGGTTGAGATGTTAGACCAATACACACCAAATGCCCACAGTTTTAGCTTCTGGCTCTTCCCATTGTCAGATTTAGATTTCCAACCTCTTTACTTACCAGAACATTCATTCAGACCTTCTTTCATTCAGCATATTTGTGTTAAGGGCATATTGTGTGTCAGGCTGAGGGCTGGGGATACAACTGTAAGATGCATTCCCAGGTTATCACAGATGGAATTACTTGACCACATTTCATATTGTCAAGCTTTCTAGATTTAACGCCCTTGAACAATTTGTGAACTATGATTCTTTATTTCCATTTTATGGACTAGGAATCTGGAGTTCAAAGAATTTAGAAGACTTGCCTATAGTCACTTGGCTTTTATTTTTAATTCTTATTTTTTTAAAGTGGGCTCCACACTCAGCATGGAGCCCAACATGGGGTTTGAACTCACAACCCTGAGATGACCTGAGCTGAGATCAAGAGTCAGACACAACCAACTGAGCCACTCAGGCACCCCTAGTTACTTAACTTTTATATCAATGACAAGTCAGGTCTATGACCCTGGAAGTCATGTTCTAATATCTCAGCTGGAGCTCGGTGAGCTCCTCAGTCCAGTCTGGCTACAACCCTGTCCAAAATCCATCCCCCATACCTAGACCACATACTTGAACATAGCCAGGAAACAGAGGAGTCGTTCCCACATAGCTACCTCTTACCTGGTTTCTTCTTACTCTTTTTACCAGGGGCACTCGCTTTTCCTGGGCAGCGCTGCTGTTCCTGAACCTGCTTAGAGCCAAGTGCTACTGGCACTGGGTCTGAATCATCTTTTTCCTTTGGTTTCTTGTGCATCACCTTTTTAATGTGAAGGTCATACATAAACAGTATCAACAGCATTTCTCTAGTGCTTTAGAGCTTACAAAATGTCTTCACATGCAGTACTTTGATTAATGTCCTAAAACCCTGGAAGATCATTATATCACCTGTACCTAAATTATGAAGAGCCTGGGAGATTAGAACAAAAAGGAATGGCCTAAATGAGGATGTCTCCAGAGGTAGAACGTTTGTCTTCACCTTCTTGCAAACAGCAAAATGCTCCATGTAAGTGGAGTGTTGTAGACAGAAGAGTTGGGGTAGAATAGCATTCTAAGAATCCCCATGAGGGGCTCCTTTCTTGCATAGAAGCTAGTAGAGAGCTGCAGGGAGAATAAATGTAAAAATGCACAGAGACAAAACACTGCTGGAAAATGGTATAGAGGAGAGGAGTACAGGGAAGGGAGAGGAAAGGAATAGTTCACAGACATTAATATAGACAGCAAAGAAAGCAGCACCAGATGTCACCTACTATCCTATGCTGGCAAGAACATTGAATGTGGAATTAGGCCAGGTGGCTCTCATACCAATTCTGCTTGCATCAGGATGTGTCACTGACCAACAATCTTAAGTTACCTTTCATTCAGTTCCCTCGTTTATGAAATAGTGAACAATAAAAGTAAAAGAAGCTAAGTGAAAGTACTGAGCTTGCAAACACTTTAATGTGGTAATAATGAAAATGAATACTTTCTTTTATGATCCTTCTTTGAATTCTCTCAACTGTCTCCAACCGTCTCAACTGTCCCAGATGCCTTTACCCTCTAAAGTAGAGTTTATTCTACAATTGTGGAATCACTTATTCAGTGAACATTCAGGTACCTCTGAGGGACTCCCTGGGCTGGGATCGAGGCTTCAGAGATGCCTCAGATGCTGACAAAGCCCCAAAGGAGATCACAGTAGGGAGGGGCTGACAGCTCAGGCCATTCTCAAGCCACATGAAAGTGTCCCTGCCACAGAGCAGAGGGGAGCTGGTATTTCATTTTGTGAGAGTGGGTGTCTAAACAGAAGCATGATCAGCTTCTGTGGGGTAAAGCTTTGGAAGAAACCCTCGAACTTCATAAACACATGAAAAGTTTCTTGAGCTTGGAAATCCTTTGGGGGCTTTTCTTAATTGTCCTGTGATTCATTAACAGTGTTTAGCAAGAACAATCACCCCTTTAAAAAAAGAAATGTTTCAAATGTACAGACTACTACCACTACCTCTGTGGTCTCAGGCAAATTACTTAACATCTCTGCACCACAACATCCTCATCTTTATGATTAGTTTTTGTTACTAATATCCTCATTATTATCTGAGAATAATGATAGGAAAACATCATAGAGGTTTTCTGAAGATTAACGAAATTAATCCTTGTGAATTGCTTAAAATAGTATCTGACATCAGTATGAAAACAACAGAAGTATCAGCTATCACAATCTCTAATTATTAAGTTATTGATGCTACATCAGGAATTGTGATAAACAGATCATGAAAGGGAGGCAGCAAGGGTCAGGCAATATTCAATATTCCCCCGCTCTTACCGATATTCATATCTGTGGAGGAAGAAAGAGTCTCTGGTTCTTTAGATTTGGGAGATACTCACCTTCAGGCGTTTTCTCTGTTGCACATCAGAATCCTCCTGAAGAGGTTCATCTAAAAGAAATGATAAGTGGAAGTTTTTCTCTGTTGACAAACATTCCCAAACACCAGAGACTCCTGTAGTATCAGGGAATTCTGAGGAAAGGGTTATGAATCAACTTATTGTCAAGGAGTTATTTTGAGACTGGCTTTAAAAATTTTTTTTGATGTTTATTTATTTTTGAGAGAGAGAAAGAGACAGAGCACAAGTGGGTGAGGGAAAGAGAGAGGCAGGGAGACACAGAATCCGAAGCAGTCTCCAGACTCTGCACTGCCAGCACAGAACCCGACGTGGAGCTTGAACCCACAAACTGTGAGATCATGACCTAGGCCGAAGTTGGACGCTTCACCAACTAAGCCACCCAGGTGTCCCTGAATTATCTTTAAATTGTGATTACACATTTATTCATGGCATCATAATTCATAATTTTTCTTCTGATGATTTATAAAATGTGAACTAAACTCCATCACTACCTCATCCTATTCTACTACATATTTCTTGCGTCTCCCCCCAATTAAACTGAATTAATTAAACTAAATTGATTGCATTCATTTAAAGATGTGTGACAACTAAAATCACTGTCTACTTAAACCTGGTGAATTTTATAATATGCCAGTTATACTTTAACCAAGTCATTAGGTGTATGATGAACCATGGATGATTTAGCAGTGGTTCTGGAATGTTTCCAGTAAAAAGATACTCCTTTAGTGTCAGGGGTGCCTGGGTGGCTCAGTCAGTTAAACATCCACCTCTTGGTTTTGGCTCAGGTCATGATCTCACAGCTCGTAGGTCTGAGCCCCATGTCATGGTCCTGGTGCGGGGCCTGCTTGGGATTCTCCCTGTCCCTCCCCCATTCACACACTCTCTCCCTAAAAATAAATAAATGATAATAATAAAAAGATACTCCCTTAGTGTCAAAAATTTTGTAGATTTTCAAGCACTAGATTTTCAGCCCTCTCACAGTAGTTTTGGGAACTTGTGGAATCTGGTCTGTCTTCCTGGAGAGTCACAGGTCTGTTGGAGATGGTTTGAACATTCTGACTCTGTCTGCTTACAACTGTGCCGTCAGAGCAGAGACCGAGTATATCTCATCCTCTTTACAGCGAGTACACACACTGCTCAAATGCACACAGATTTCTAGAATCTGCTACCCTTTTCACTGTGTGTTACCTGTGCTCACTGACAACTAGAAAAGCTCGGTGTGTGGAGAATCGCTGTCTCAAACTCTCTCCCAAGCTCAACACCTAGAATCAGGTTGGATTAGGAGCAAAAAGACTACTTGGTTTGGGTAAAAACACCAAATAGCTGTATGTCATTATATAATCCATATAATGCATTATACACACACACACACACACACACACACACATATGTATATTATATAATGCATTAATCACTCTCTCTTAAGATATTTACCCAATACCTCTGCCCTATTATGAAATTGACTCTTGAAGTTTTTTGTGGATTTATACTTTTTTGTTTTTAAAAAAAGTAACTTCTGTGCTCACTTTGGCAGCACATATACTAAAAAAGTAATTTCTATGCCCAATGTGGGGCCTGAACTCATGACACCGAGGTCAAGAGTCGCATGCTCTACCAACAGCCAGCCAGGTGCTCCACATGGATTTAGACTTTAATTATATTTTTCTTAATTGTCCTGTGATTCATTAACTGTGTTGAGCAAGAACAGTAACACATTAAAAAAAAAAGAAATGTTTCAAATGTACAGAAAATTATGGAGAATAATATGGGAAACACGTGAACATCTATCACTGAGTCTAGTCAGATATTACCATTATCCCACAACTGCTTCAGATTGTTCTGAGATCTTTATTCAAAATATAAGAAAACATGGGGCACCTGGGTGACTCAGTCGGTTAAGCGTCTGACTGGATTTTGGCTCAGGTCATGATGTCATGGTTTGTGAGTTCGAGCCCCACATCGGGCTCCATGCTGACACTGCAGAGCCTGCTTGTGATTCTCTCTCACTCTCTCTCACTCTATGCCCCTTCCCCGCTCTCTCACACACACTCTCTCAAAATAAATAAATAAAACTTAAAAATATATATAACAAAACACAATAAACAAGTAACAGCTGAAGTCATCTGTACAGTCCTCACTGATCCCTGCCCTCCCTCTTTCTGCATTCCTGAATTTGATGGGTTTTATTCTCATTCAGGTTTTATACATTTACCATTGCTTATTATCCATAAAAACATATACTCTCATTTTGCATGTTTTAGGATTTTATATGAATGGCCTCTGACTCTACTTAACCTTCTACATCCAACTTTTCTCACTCAGCCATGATACTTTTGAGAGAGCAAACTCCTGAGAATCCTTCCCAAGCAGCTGGACCCAAAGCAGTTGGGCTTTAGGAGACCCTTTCCAGGCCCTTCCTGTCCACTTACTCTCATTCCCGGAGTCCTGGTCTTCATCAGAATCATGCCCACTGGACTTTGTGGCACATTTTTTAGGACACATGAAGGCTGGGAGGGTGGTCTTGAGACCTAGAAAGAAGCAAAATATTTGTTCTTTAAGAGACAACCTGAGAGGAGAGGAATGTGGGGTGGGATCCTGGGAAGCAGCAGGAAAAGTAAAGCTCATCAGCTGGGGGAATCCCAACAAGGGTGAGCAGAAGAGAAACATGTGGGATCTATGTTTGAGCATCTTTGTGGCCACCCCAGGCCCTCAGCCCTGCACAGAATAGAAAAGAGCAGAGGGGCACCTGGGTGGCTCAGTCGGTTGAGCGTCCAACTTCAGCTCAGGTCTCACAGTTGGTGAGCTTGAGCCCTGCATCAGGCTTGCTGGTGTCAGCGTGGAGCCTGCTTCAGATTCCCTGTCTCCTTGTCTCTCTGCCCCTCCCCCGCTCATGCTAGCTTTCTCAAAAATAAATAAAACACTAA